GCCTTCGGATCCCTAAAGAAATTTAAAAAAAGAAATGCCCCCTCCCTTGTTTTCCACCACCCACCCCCCCATCCCTCTCCCGATGAATCTTTCAACCTGTATAAAACTAGCATCCCATCCAGGGGGGAGTAGAAATACTTCCGGCCAATTTACTGCTGGGGACAACACTGCGATGAACTAGCATCCCATCCAGGGGGGATGGGGGGGGAGTAGAAATACTTCTAGTCGCTTCATGCTAAGGAAACCGGATAAGCTCCAGCCTCGTGGGCCACTAGTTTCATATACACACTTTACCTACCATGTCAAATAATAATTTGTACCCCGCCATGTAATAAAATACTGAATGTGAATAATTTTACGCATATACACCGTAGTCTCGCCCCCCGAAAGATGTAGCTGGTTTCCCAAACAAAAACTCACTTCTGTAGTTAATACTGTGTATAAAGCCCGGGGCATAAAGACAAGATTATTACTAACGTCCCTTCCCCTTTTGCCAAAAAGAGTGGAAACATACATATTTTTGTTTTTTCGGTACTGGATCTCCTCTCAATATTTATGCGAGAAGAGAATAAAGTGACTGAGAGTAGAAAGCTTTAATCTTTGACCTTTCTAGCCCTCCGAGGTGCAAATGTCTCCTATTTACTTTTCAAACGCCCTAAGCGCCGTGTGAAAAGATCAAAGATCACTGATTATTTTGCTGAGCGCAGAGGCTTTTAAGTGTTGACAGATAGCTAAAAGAAGAACTGCCTATTGTTTCATATATTCATATTACCACTTCGCATTCCGTTCTGACCTTTCTAATTGAGGCGACCGGCAAGCAGCAATTTATTTAGGAGTAATTTCCTTCGTTTGGCTGAATCCTGACTTCCTAAGTTTCAATGGCTTCTTGCGGGAGTGATAGCAGCGACAATGATAGTGTCAAAAGCTACGCAAGCGTTGTTCGAGGAAATTCGTCTCCACTTCAGAACACATGGTGTAGACGCTTCCAAGAAGAGGACGAAGAACAGGCCGTCGCTATTGCGACCAAACGTTCAGTGGAGGAGCAACAGGTAATCTACCAATTTACTGCAATACGCTGAACAAACGTTTTGTGTAGATACGAACTTGTAGTAATTTTATTCCAGAGTGACGCTAGCGACGAAGTCCTGTGTGTTACCACTGCTGGATTCGGTGGTGATGTTGGCCAAAAAAGGCTCACCAATGAAGAAAACTGTGTTGAGGTCAGTATAAATCATGTTTACAATCGGCTGTATTAACTGGAGTGTCGCGTGTACCGTGTGTACCATGTCGAGCGTAAGACGTTTTGCCCAGCGTTAACATTATCAAATCTGGTCTAGAATAACATGTAAGAAAACATGTCACCCCCGGGAGTACATATTGTTCCTCATCTGTTCATAAAGTAAAATGATTAAAACTCTTTTCTTTAACGAAGAATTTTACCGTCTTAAAGCTAGGGGGTGGAAAGCGAATTGCACTGACCTAACTAACGCCTCTTATACCAGCAAATCGTGGAAAACCCTATTTTTTAAACGCTTCAACAACGTGCAAACGCGTGTTATGCGGTTTCCAATGACACGTATTTTTGTTGTTTCAGATTGATGACAGCGAGGAAGACTTGCGTGTCGTTACTCCTGGATTCGGCGAATATACCCAGCAGAAGGAATCCAAGGGAGAGTGCAATCGCAAGGTCAGTTGAAGATTTCCGGAATATTGTTTTGTATCAGGGGAAATTTTTGATTGAGTTTTATTTTTTTCCGGCTTGTCCTTCGCTTTCCATCCCATAAAGGTCGTTTTGACCTT